CCATGCTGAGCACGTAGGCTGGCGTTTTGTACTTCTCTTTACTGTTCATTCATTAAACGAGGATTATTCGGTAGCCTGTAAATTGCAGTGCCATTTAATTTTAGCAGTTGCGCGACGAAATGTTCAATCCATTCGATAACATATTATATCTATTTACTCTTACAAATACACTTATTTATATTTAAATTGCATAATGAATGCAAATAAAAGTTATTAAAAAATATATAGACCTATTGCGTGAAAGATTGCGTAAAAAGGCAGTAAATACAAATATGATGCGTTGAATAGAGATGGAATGGAGAGAGAATAGAGATGGAATGGAGATGGCAGGAGATGATATGATACACGACGGAGTCCATCACCGTCGACTGAGGGCTACCTCCCCCCCCCCCCCGAGAGGGAGCTGCTTCGGCAGCTGACGTAGACGGGGTCGCGAACGGAGGAACAGAAAGGTTTAGTGGGTATGCCTCCGCTATGGAGGAGAATCCCACATAACTACCGCTTCCCCCCCGGGCGCGGAGTATGCATAAAGCATTCCTCTCTGGAAAAAAAGGGGATGATATGATGATGATGATGATGATAATGAAATGATGATGGACGGATCAAAGCGAAAAGCTCAAAAGAGAAATTTGTGTAAAATATAATAGATGTCTGATCGCTATACTAGACGTATTCTTATGGCCGAAACGATGTTGCAATTTTCAAGGGTATTTAAAAAAAATCACATATTAAAACTAGATTTAGCATTATATATGTATGTTATGATAATTATCATACGAGATTTAATAGCAAATATTTTTTATTCAGGTGATTATTGCTAAAAGAACTCATTCAGTTTACATTTAGTGACGCGTATAAAACTAATTGTGTGTTAACAATGTGTGTGTCCGTTCGTTCGTACCAACAATATTTTAGTTTTGGTTTATTAAATCCCAAACATAAAAGTCTGGTTTAACATTTATTAGTGTAGAGAACATAAATATGTCGAGACAAAATAAACGACTTTGAAATCTGATTTTTATACAAAAGCTATAATTTCTTAGAAAAATTTATATAAACCAGCGCATAGGAAGGAGAAATTGTCTTTTTTTTATAACAGAAGGGGGCAAACGAGCAGCGGGAACACGGAGGTGTTCAACGTCGACCATGGACATCAGCAATACCAGAGGAACCGCAGATGCGTTGTCGGCCTTTGAGATAGTGATAATCTCGCTTCTTGAAGGACTCTAAGTCGTAGCGGTTTGGAAATACCGCCGAGGATAGACCATTCCACAACGCTGCTGTGCGAGGCAGGAGGCTTTCTGTGTTAGAGACCAAAATATCTGTCATTATCTTTGACAAAACAGAGGTAATAAGACAAGGTTTTTGTCTCAGAATGTCACAGTAAATCGTGGAATATTTTACAAACAACCTTAATTATATATTAAGTAAAACTCTACTTAATGGGTAAATAAATTCCATAAAAACAGTCTATAACTTTCATTTTAATTATTCACTGCACAAAATCTCGTAGAAAAATTAGTTATTTAAATGTAAGGACATTTTCTAGTGCAAGGGAATGTTAACAAAAAGCTTCACAGTCGAATTTGCATAAAATATCAGTTCTCCTGAGGAGTACGCTTATACAACTGGAATTATGGAATTCAGAACAATATAATACAAAGTTCTAGTTCTTGTTAAGATGTATTTAACAAGGTAGATTCCAGAAATAGCTTTTAGACAACGAGATTTTTCTTCTAAATTTAATATGTAATTTTTTTCATGCACAGAATTCCGGGAATATTTCAAATGTACTAACTTTTAGTAAATTGTTGACTTGATAGCGTTAAGTAAGCGTCAATAGCCTAATGGTTAAGGGTAGGGATTTCCGATCACGAGATCGGGGGTTCGAATCCCGCCATTCGACTATTGTCGTAAACCATATCCTAGCACAAGCTTAGAGCTTATTTGAAATGGCTAAAGAAAATAAAAATAAAAGTAAGAAGTATCTTACTTGTTTATTTAATGGTGGGTTTCCATTGAAGTGATACTTCTTGTTTTACAAATCGACATGTATATTTTGTACACAAATGACATATTTTTTTTTAGAATCCTCCGTAATTTTGAGATGGCAGCCATCTTGGATTAATCATTGTATTTTATGTTTTACATGTCAAGCGCTTTCATTTGAAACCCATGTTGAAGAGGCAGTATGCAATGATAAGCAGACAAGATTTGGGCCTATTTATTTATTTATCTATTAACTCTTAATGCTATCATAATACATAAAAAAAGACAATTAACTAATTTACAAAGCAAGGGCGGCCTTATCGCTACAAACGATCTCTTCCAGACAACACCAAGGCCTATATTTTAATCAAGTCAATGTTTTGTAACACGAAAATTAATAATAAAATTGTAAAATGACGTTTAAATACAAGTACATGAGATATTAAAAACGGAAAAAATAAAAGTGCAACATTAAACAATTTTAAAGTAAATTACATCTGCAGCGAAATACATTCCAAGTGTTATCTACCGGCGAGAAGTTTGAAATTAAAGTTCCGTGTATAAAATTCTTATATCTGAAAGAAAAGTAGTCAACTGGGAATGGTGCAGTAAATTGTTTTAATATTAAATACGATTTTCCAACCGCAACTACCTACTCGTAGAATTAAGAAAAAAATTATAAAGCCTATGCTCCATTCCATGCTGTAAATTATATCTGATCCATATTTGCAGTTACACGGTAACAAACATCCATACAAACTTATATATTACCTTATAATCATCATCAGCTCACTATACATCCCCACTAAGGGGTTCAGAGCTTACCCTAAGTTAGGCATGACTAGACCATAATCAACCATGCTGGCCAATTGGTTGGTTGACTTCACACATATCTTTGAATTTCTTCACAGTTATGAACCACACACACACACACCACGACGGTTTCACAGCACCACGATGTTTTCTGTCACCGTAAGAACATCGGATAAATGTACATTTGTGAATCAAAAATCGTAAAACACATCGGTACATGGCGGGACTCGAACCCAGACCTTCAGATTATATTGTTTCTAACAATAGCCGAATAGCGAGATTCGAACCCTCGATCGTATGATCTGTTGTCCTTACAATCTAACCATTAGGGTATTGGCACATAGTATAGCAGTTTTAAAATTAAAATAAAAAGAAATTAAAACAACTATGAGATGCGAATAAGTTTTATTTTACAATACATTGATCACAATCTCATACATTTCATCTTAAATTAAGTTAGACCGTTTCTCCTTAACAACAATGAAGAAATTAACAATTAATATTAACATTTAATATAAAGTTATGTACAATTATTAAATACTTAAATCGATTATGTAAAATTATTAACACAAAAACATCGTTTTGACTTGACAGGGGCACTGCTGTGCCCACATATAATGTACAATACTTAAATTACGGATTCATACGTCACTGAGGATAATTTTAAATTAAGCTTTTTGTAAATATTAAAAAAATGAATCCCTGAATGATTATTTACATACTTCATTTAATTTGTGACATTACATTTATACAATGCATCAATGATAGAGTCAAATTATAATAAAACTATTCTGATAAACACCGTTAAATATATTTAAAAAAATAAATCTTCATAATACGTACTTAAAAGCTTATTATTTAATGCGTTGTATTAATATAAAAACCATTTAAATGAACATAATTGCATTATCGAACATTATTTTAATGATTATTATGTTGGATATTCAGACCGAAATTATTTAAAATTAATAATTTATTTTTCTCACGCTCACTTTATAAGCGTATGTATATTAAGGCGGGTTTCCGTGGATGAATTTATTCAACTATTTTATAATAAATTGTTTTTTTTTTCATTTATATACATTTTGAAGTTATGTATTTAATAGATTTTATTTGTGCTACATATGTAATGGAAATGTTATATATCTATTATGTTATTTTAAAGATAATACAAAGTCATGGCTTTATTAGACTTTTATAAGTATACTAGCAACGTACCATTTAACATAGATATAAACTAAATTGAAAATTAGAACAAGAAATTAACGACTGACAGATTCCGAGTAAAAAGTCGAATCTAATGACACTTAATTCATCAAAAACAGTCCAGGCGTTTATCCTTTAAGAGGTCAGAATTAAATTGACACACAGACAAACTTACATATTTAAAAAACCATACGTTACTGCGAAAATATTACACTTTTGTTAGTCGGGTAATTAATATAAAGCTTTTTCCTGAATAGTTTTAATATTGATTGCTCAGCCTACAAATGTAATTTTTAGATTTGTTTAGTTGTTTTTGATTTTTATCGAAAAAAATCTGTTCATTCTTCTCTTTATAAGTAAACTTAAACCAAATATAAAATTAATTTCTTGTAATAATTGTTAAAATTACATATATTGTGATATGCAAAGATTTTAATTTTTTTTTTTCGTTGTTCAAATGTTTAGAGAGAAAATAATGTTTGGAATCGAAGACAAAATTGAGCAATTTTTTGTGAAAATGACATTAAAATATTTAAATTAAAATTTACTTTTATTCTACAAATTTATAATTAATTTCAATTAAATTTGCCTTTTAATTTGTTACTTCCCTGTACAAAACCGTTATAAATGGATTTATAATAAAACTAGCTGTCGCCCGCGACTCCGTACGCGCGAGATTGAAAATAGATGTTGGCCGATTCTCAGACCTACTCAATATGCTCACAAAATTTCATAAGAATCGGTCAAGCCGTTTCGGAGGAGTATGGGAACGAAAATTGTGACACGAGAATTTTATATATAATATATTATTTATATAATAATTGTAAAGACTTTGAGTTGTTTATTTGTAAGAAACTTTACCCGCAATTCTAAAAAAAAAAATTACAATGATCTGTTAATCCTTTAGCAATTGTTTTGGTATTCGATAATTTAAAAAGTAAAAAACATAAGCTCTAGTTAAACATTTTGTTTTCTCAATTGGTCACTAGATGGCGTTTTTTTTTAATTTTGAATTGAATTTCTTACCGATTGTTTCTGAGACTAAAATATCTGTATCATATCGTATTTCCCATGGTTAAGCTGTCGTTTAACTTTGGTTTTACCAATTAATACCCTATTGTCAGAACAATGACAAGCCGTTGTAAATTAGTAGGATAACATTATTGGCGCCTTAGTAATTAAATAACAGAATTAAGGGCTTTGTAATCTTATATCGAATATACAACAACGAAAACCAGTCGGCTAAGATCCTTGATTTTTATGTCAATTAGTTTAATCTATAGTTTAACTTATGCTGGTCTTCACATCTCAATTAACTAGTGAAGATGCTTCAGTCGACTTAAAGTTAAGGATATTACTATGAAACTAACATCAATTACATTTTTACAAAATGGCGCGTGACCATAACGCGCCGGCAATCTGTCAGCTGATGTATGAAATGAGCAGAGCGCGCAATGAATGTCTCACATTGGAGACACCGCCGCGTTGCATCGCTAGAGGGTTTTCACCTGGAAGGAGACAAGGATTTCAATAATCAAGTACAAGACAATACCATTTAATCGAAGCGGTTTATTACTATAGCTTGACTAGGCCATAATCAACCACGCAGGCCCAGTGCGGGTTGACTTCACACATATCTTTTAATTTCGCAGATATGTGCAGGTTGCATCATAATGTTTTCCTTCACCGTAAGAGCATCGGGTAAATGTATATTACATATGTGAGTCGAAAATGGAAAATCACATTGTTTTATGGCGGGACTGAAACCCAGAACCTGCAGATTACAAGTCAAGTGCTTTAACCTCGAAGCCACCGAGGCTACGTTTAAAAATGTTGTTTTCAATTTAGTTCTTTTATTGGGAACTTAATCAATAAATAAAAGTTTATATTTCTTTTGGCTGACAGTTTATGTTTTTAAAATGAAATCTACACCAGAGGAACTGCAAATTCATTGTTAACCTTCGAGAAAGAGAAAGAAGTTTGCTTCTCAAAGGGTTTTTAAATTAGTAAATTAACCTTTGTTTACCTCTCAGTACATGCACGGAGACAGCAGTCGCTGCGAAGTCAGCCAATGAGCAGGTGTAGTTGCCGGAGTCCTGTCTATTAGCGTTGGCAATGTAGAGTCGAGATAAAGCGCCGTTAGGTAAAGTCTCCGTCTTCACACTGTCAAATAAAATGTCATTAAACAAAACGCAACACAGATTGACCGTTGGTTTCTGACACCAAACTTTTTCTGACACCATCTTTGAAAACCAGAGATAACGTTCTCAACAGGGGTTTTGGTCTCGTAAACCCACTGTAGAAATTTTAGTGTCTTATCTGCCATTGAGTGGTTAATCTAAGCCTTAACCTCATTAACCTCACTAATTTATTGATTTTTTTGTGATAATCTTATTAATATTATAAATGCGAATGTTTGGATGGATGGATATTTGTTTTAAAAGCATCTCGAGTTTTTTTTAAATACGCGCGGACGGAGTCGCGGGCGATAGCTAGTTTTAATATAAAAATAAGAAAGCTAATATAGCATTGTCTTGAACTATTCCCGCAATAAAGCATTTCTTTAATTAACATTGTTCTCTCAGCCGAGGCTTGACTTAGACGAGAGTCCAATAAGCGAAACTTTTCTCGGACATTTTCCGCTCGACGCTTTTAAACCCGATTGCTAACCCTCATCAGAAGAGATAATCCTTGGACAAGATTTAACTCATTATTTGGATTGAATTGCAAGTAATTAAACGTTAGTAAACGTAGTTTATCAACAATTATAAAGTCGTTGTATATTTATAACAAGCTATCGCCCGCGACTCCGTCTGCGCGTGATTAAAACAACTCAAATAGTACCCTATGTGTTCTTCCAGACTATGTTCTACACCTATGCTAAATTTCAGCGAGATCCATACAGCCGTTCTGGATATAATTTCAAACAAACATCCATCCATCCGCCCAAACATGCGCATCTATAATATTAGGTATGATATGATTACACATTGGTATGTTTCTCGTCAGCCGACTATACGTCCCCACTGAAGGGCTCGGAACCTACCCTACGTTAGGAGTGACTAGGTCATAGCCAAACACGCTGGCCCAGTGCGGGTTAGTTGACATATCTTTGAATCCCTTCTCAGACATGTGCAGGTTGCATCACGATGTTTTCCTTCAACGTAAGAACGTCGGATAATAGTACATATGTAAATCGAAAAACACATTGGTACATGGCGGGATTCGAACCCAGGACATGCAAATTGCAAGTCAAGTGCTTAAGCCCTGAGCCATCGTCGTTCTATATATTTTCTTTTCTTCCGTCTATGCCGACTCAGCTTACGAGAGAACGACTTAGCGACTTCTTTACATTTTATTACACAATTCACAGGGGTTGCTGTAAGAAAGTTAAACTCCGTGCTTAAATTGTGTTAAAGTTAATTACTCCGAGCCCCTTATAAATCTTTTCAGCGATTCGCACAAATAAGCGTTGTTAACACTCCATGAATTTTATTCGCTTAATTTGTTTGTGTAAATTAAAGTAGAACGGCTCCGGAACGACGTTTTAACGAGCGCAAACCGTACCAGATGCGCTCGGCGCGTTTTCAATACACTTTTACGAGTTCTACGATTGTCAAAGGATACTTTATAACTGTGGATTTCGACTACCGTGTGTATTGACGTATATCGTTGTCTCTCCTTTTTTTCAAAGAAATTGTAAGGGATGACAGTATCAATGCAAGTATCTCTGCAATTGAAATTCAAAACCCACAATATCCTTGCTGATCTTTACTAATATTATGAATGCGAAAGTAACTATGTCTACGTAGTTTCGACCTCTACATATTAAGCAAATAAAATTTGAGTGTCTATTTGTAATATTGAAATAACAGTTTTTTACTATATGTACACAATTTTACAATTTTTGTCTGTCTGTCTGTCTGTGTGTTCCGGCTTATCATTGAAATGGCTGGCCCGATTTTGTCGGGACTTTTATTATATTGGCATGTAGGTGATTTAATAAAGAGTAAAATAGACTACATTTATTTTAGAAAAAATATTTTATTTTAGAAAAATAAAGTAATATTGCAATGTACAAGTACTGTCAAACCGCTCAAAGACAGTATTTCACTCGGACGAGGTCACGGGCACAGCTAAATATAAAAGTAACTCACCTGACTCCTCCACGCTTAGTGTCGTAGTTCAACAATCTATTGCCGTGTTTCCAGTTAACTTGTCTTGAAGGTTCGGGTACCTCGCTGACGACGCATCGTAATTCTATAATTGAACCTTCCTTGTAGAACTTGTCTTGCAGAGGTTTGCCCCTTTCGTCGACTATTTCAACTTTTGGAACTGTAACAATAGAATTTGTTTCCAATTAATTTTGGATATAAAGGTACGCGTCCATTGGCCCACGCCGGACGCACCGCACACACGGATTAAACGGATTTGATTGGTCCTTCCATGCCGGCGACGCGTATATTAGACGTAGTGCTACGTAAAATCATACAAAGCAAACTAAATCCGTTGCGGGTCGTGAGTGCGGTGCGTCCAGCGCGGGTCAATGGACGCGTACCTTAAAGCTGGAACTAAGTAAGTAACTTAAGTACGGTTTGTCAAATATCCGAAATTTACTTTCTTACCTTGCTCTACTAATTTAATTTATTTCACTATCAAAAATATTTATACGACATTCCAATAATTTCTTTGCATAAAGCGTACAAAAGCAAAGTACCATATATCCGTTCACTTATTTCTGGTACAGAAAAAGGTGAACGGAGATATTTAGGTTATTGAAAGTGCATACCAGATATTTATTTGAGGAACCTCTTAGAAAACATATAAGACCACAGTCACATAACCACAGCGAATAATATATAACTTTACTAGCTGTCGCCCGCGACTCCGTCCGCCCGGGATTAAAAATAGATGTTGGCCGATTCTCAGACCTACTCAATATGCTCACAAAATTTCATTAGAATCGGTCAAGCTGTTTCGGAGGAGTATGGGAACGAAAATTGTGACACGAGAATTTTATATATAAGATTAGTATTATTCCAATGTGAAATATATTTCTTTGATATTATAAGCCCATTTTACATCCCCACTGAAGGTCGCGGAGCCTACCTTCTTCAACAAGGTCGAAAAATTATATAATACTCGACAAAATCTTATATTCTTTTTAAATATCACTTAGCACTTAATAGAGGATGTTAAGATGTATGGAAGAGTAGTACATACTGTGCCAACCCTCCGTAGTGATGAGGGCAAGTTGATGATGAAGATGAAATATCACTTTGAAAGTTACATAGTAAGTTAGTAGTAATAATTTCTTTACGCCAAAACCTAACAATCTACCATCGCTCAAATTATAGGCCAAAGTCTTTCATCGCGATTAAGTTGGCTCAAGTAATTCTAGATTAGACCCTTATAACACTTGACAAAATTAAATCGAATAAGACATCTCAAACATAAAAATCGGTCAAACATTTTGAGTTTATAGGCAAATTAGAAGAAGACAAATTTTAGGCTCCAGGCCGATTCAGGAGAAATTCGTCTTTTACATGTAAACAAAAATAATTTCCTTACTTTAAGTGAATTACTACAGAACCAGACTAATAAGGAAAAACAAAACACAATATTAGAAGCAGCAGATGTCATCAATTGCTTTAGTAAGTACTATGTTACAATTTTGGTAAATTACGACAACCCTTACCGGACCTCAAGCGTAAAGGGTCTTGAAGCGACATCTGACGCATGTGACGAAACCCTATCAAGTATATTAGCTATTAACTTAATCTGTTTTGCTCGTAAAATGAAGACTGAAAATAATTGCCACACAATGTTAAATTGTCGAGTCGCCTATTGTCACTACAGACGTAGCGACATGTCAACTGTATAGATTTTCTCAGCCATCTTGAAAATCGCAGAGACTTTTTTCACGGCGATTTTTTCTTTTAGCGATGAAAAAACAAAATGTTAGCGACGCATGTGTGTAAGAAGGTTTATAACATTGTATTGTGTACGTCGCTTAGCGACTAAAATCGCGGGCTTTCGAACATTTACTTTGCTTGTGTACGAAGGGCTTTATAATAATCGGATGAATGAAATTCAAAAATTGAAAAATACATTGCGTGGAATTGAATTTATTTACACTGAAATAGACACTGAAAAGACTTAAGGAAGAGAAACATGTTTTATATTCATCTAATATATAAATATTAATACGTGAGTATTTTTGCGTTAATGTGTCCCAGGAGTGGTTGAAAGCATTAAGTCTTTAGAGTTGACATTTTATAACATTATGCGTAATTTGTGTGCACGTTAAAACAGCTCTGGTAATATACCATTATGTAAGATTAATCTTATACAACAAAATATAGGTCGAGGGAGAAACTAGAAGATTTTTCCTTAGGAAATATATACTATTTAGTTAACTTTATGCTATGCTTAATTTGTTTATTATAAACTCGTGTGTGTAGACATGACAATTTTAATAGCAAATAACAACATACTGCTATATTCTTTTTTCAAAACTCAACTGACTGAGGTTCTAATGGATGCCATCTATTGGCTGTAAAAACAAAGGTAAAAAAATTGTGATATCTGAAATAATATAAACCAAATAAACTCTGATTTTTATATAGTACTAGCTGTCGCCTGCGACTCCGTCCGCGTAAAAATATAAAAAACTTAATCAGTGTAGCGTATGTGTTCTTGCAGACTTTATTCTATACGTATGCCAAATTTAATCGAGATCCGTTCAGCCGTTCTAGCGATATCTTCAAATATAAATCCATCCACATCACATCCATCTAAACATTCGCATTTATAATATTAGTAAGAAATAAGATTGTCAATTATTTAAAAATATTGCCATTCCGTTAAATCTCAGTGTAGCGGGAATTCAGAGTTTGTATGTTTTTTTTACTTGTGTTCGTTAATTGAATAGTAAATTAAAATTTTCCTTAGCGAAAGTTATCTCGTTTTTCTTCTAAATGACTGTCCGCTAAATTACAATTAAAGTTCGCTCGTTAGTGTTGTTCTTGCAAGTATGTACAGGAAAAATAATATTTTTTTCTATTCTTAAACAGAATCAAATAATCGGTGGCCTATCTGATTTTTCGGATAAGGGGATGCATGGGAAGGGAAAACATTCTCTTTCTGTGCATGATGCATGGGAAAGTATATAAATATTCTTTTTCTGACCATCCCCTCCTCCGTCGATTATAGGTAGGCAACACATCTGCAATTGCGGATGGTTATGGGCAGCGGTCGCTTCATTTTTTTGGCGAATTCTGATGGCCTCTCACTCGTTTGTCACCTTATAATATATATTAAAAAAACAAACATTGTATTCTTAATTTTTCATGTAAAATGATTGCAGAGAAATTCTAGCTTAGATCTTTTCCACTAAGCAGTTTGCCGCGCGCAAACATTACTAAAACAGTTGCGATTCATATTTCCACTGCGTGACTAGCGTAGACGTAACTTTTATACAATACCAGGGAGTCCAATCCTCTCCTCCTTCTAAACTTTTTCATAAAACAAAAGAATTGTAAGGAAAAATATCTTTTTTCGTAGGTTCTCCGACTACTAAATGTTAACCTTTACCTAATATTTAAAACATTTCAACTCCTTGCAGTTAACTAAATACTAGCTATTTTAGACAGATGAGTCAAGTAGCCATTTGCTTGCCACCTTTAAAAAAAAATCCAAATTGACGCTCACGACTGATCGCACAGTGGAAAAAGGATCTAAGTGAACAAAATGTTGGATAGTAAAACAAATATTGAAGATTGTGGAATATTCAGGAAGTGCTCAATAAATCGTCTGAGTCATATAACGCAGCTGTTCTCGTCCGATATGTTTCCGAAATGAATACTATTCCGATGGATAAGAAAACTTTTATATCTATTCGTAAAGAATGGAATAAGTTACAGCGTACAATGTATATATATATTTGTTATTAATGTGGGTTTCCACTGTTGTAGCTAACCTGAATTCCTAAAAATGGCTGTCCATAGTTACCGCACTTAAATGCGTTGCCTGCCTTTAATCGACACAAAAGAACACATGCAGAAAGGGAATATTTCCTCTTATTATGGGTCCCCTCTTCCATAAAATCTACTTCTTAAGAAACCTTATAAAACGATGCGTAAATGAAAAAATTATACTATAATTAATAGATTTGATTTTTATAAAGCTTTTTAAATTAAAATTAACATTCAATTAATATTTAATTAGTTAAAAAACTTGTGGTAAAAAATTCGATTTAATTTAAGAGATAAATATTAAGACCTCTTTTAAATTATCCAAGACAAGAGCTGGATAAAAAAATAACTTAACAAACACATAATAATTTCTGTCAAAATAGTTTGCATTTCACAGCTTATTGGGCGATTGTTATTCATGGCTTCGACAACGTGAAACAGATAATTTAATCGTAAGTTTCTGAGAAATTAAAATATTTGTCTTTTATTTTTCAAAGACAATAAAGGGGACGACATTTTTGTTTGTGTTTTTGTTTCTTTATAAGGCCCGCTACAAACCTTCGGTTTTAAATATACAGTTGGAATGTTTGGTTAAGTGCGTGTAATGCAAAATTTTATTTTTTTTATTTTTACAGTTTACAGTTTTGTCAACCCACATGTTATTGTACAGTGTACTGAACGTGTAAGGGGCTTTATATTGACAACCTTTTCTATATATGTACTTTCTCGAACCCCTTATCACATAACATCAAAAGAACATTTATATTTAAGAGGATTTTTTTAAGATAAATCTTCTACTTAAGGTAAGATGCTTGAAACGTTTGTCGTATTTTTATAATATAAATAAATAATCATTACTTTGAAAAAAAAAAATACGTTAATAAAAACATAACTAAAAAGCGACAAATTATTTTCAGTATGTAAATAAGATACGATTAAAGTTTTTTTTTCTATTCAAATTTTGAACTGAGCAAATTACATCTAGCGAGTTTCTTTTATTAACTTTTTTATCTGAGCATATGCAAAACATAACAAAAAAAGCAACATTCAACTAGCTAAAGGTATATAAACAAAATCATAAATCTAGCTACAGTTACATAACGTATAGTTTTTCTTATTCAACCTAAGTCTTATTCATGTAGGCAATAAATATTTTTTTTATAGAACAGACAAATTCCATGACGCAAAATAAAATGATAAACATAAATTCCTTAAAGTATTTATTGATAGGAAGGTAATGTATTCCACGTATATGTATGAACTAGCCGTCGCCCGTGACTCCGTTCACGTGGAATTTAATAAACTTAACAATTAGCCTATGTGCTCTTCCAGACTATGTTCTACATCTATACAAAATTTCTTCGGGATCAGTTGAGCCGTTCTGGAGATACATTTTAACAAATATCCATCCATCCATCTAAACATACGCAATTATAATATTAGTAAGACTAACATAGTATAAACAAGGAACTAAGATGAGAAAATAAGCTGTAAAAATATAGTTTAATTGTTTGTTTGAAAATTTAAACACAACTTTAAATTACAAACTTTAAGTAAAAGTTAAATCTTAATTTAAACAATTAATTAATCACGATATCAGGAAATTAAATTTAAAATAAATTCGTTTAAAACCATTTTATATAAACATTGCAAATTCAATTTCGATATAAAACTTTTCATAAATACATTAATATCCAATTTCAAATCGAATTTTAATATAAATAAAAATATAAAATATAAACAGAGATATAAAATCCCAGATTTCCACAGAGTATAAAAATTCACAATTTGTTTTATTTTACTGAAAGTTGTAAAAAGTAAAATGAGACCAGTATTTATAGCTAAAACAGATCCGTCACTAGACAGTTCTATTTTATTGTCGAAGGAACATAAAGCGGTCAGGTTAGGAGATAAATTTAGTGTTAAAGTCAAGTGCTTCCTCAATACCTCTTATCCTATTCTTATCTCTACATAGAATAAAGAGAAATCTTATTCTTACTATCTTGCTATAATAAATGTGAATTTTAGGATGGATGGATGTTTGTAAGAAGGCATTTCAAGAACGGCTCTATGGAACTCACTGAAATTAGGTATAGGTGTAGAACATAGTCTGGAAAAACAGATAGGCTACTAATTAAGTTTTACTTTAATTCCGCGCTGACGGAGTCGCGGGCAACAGCTAGTCTTACAAATATTATAAATGAGTGTTTGGATGTATGTATAAATGGATTTTTGTAAGAAGGCCTCTAAAGAACGGCTGCATGGATAGATAGAACATAGTCTGGAAGAACACATAGCCTACTAATGAAGTTTTATTCTACGCGGACGATAGCTAGTAATTTATAAATTTTGAAGACCCTTTACTGCATAAGCTTACCATGTGTGTAACTCGGATAGCAACTACAGTCATTGCTTTTGGCATAGTTAATTTAAGTAGCCATAGTATTGAAGTTTCATTAATTTAAAAACAGAATATTTTAGTAGTAGCAAGAATCTTATCTGTACTTTCACAGGAACCGGGGAACTTATCAACGTCATGTGGAGTTTTATAGGCTCGATACTTTCACAGATTTACGACATAACTGGAATTTTATTAGACAATTCGTGCTTGATTTTGCCAATAAAAGTGAGATATTTGGCTCCTAGATTCATTTAAATTTTCAACTAATTTTTGTTTTTTGGATGTATAATAATATTTTTATATTTTAATCTGATGTATGTCTGTTCGTTTTATTGCAGGGATACTCTTATTATTTAATTATGTTGTAAAATTTATATTAAGTAAGCGTCGCCCGCGACTCTGTCCGCACGGGATTAAAAATAAATAGTAGTCGTTTTACTGAATATGCGTATTAAATTACATAAAAATCGGTTAAGCCGTTTCGGAGGAGTATGGTAACTAACATTGTTATACGAGAATTTGTTAAGATATCCAAAATATTTTGTAATTTTACTAAAACTTTCAAAAGGAATATTTTAAAAAATTAAATTTCTCTGTCGTGAAATAACATTTGAAGTAAAATACTTATAGATAGAGATAAACATCTTGTGTATTTAGGTTATATGGTTAAGAAGGTTAAATATATTCCACGAATGTTTGTACGTCTGTACGGAAGCAGAAAGTGTTTGTAATATTTAAATAACAAGTGTCTGTTTGCATTGTTTATCCCAAACAAAACCAACGAGTTAAAGCCTTTTCTTAAACAAATATTTTATGCCAACAAAAGGGTGACCCTTGTCAAATTGTTTATAAACATCCTTACGGGAGACTATTACAGTACTTTCTTAAATTATAATTAAATTAAAAATAACATTTACATTTAAACTCCAAAATAAATTTAACCAAGTCAGGTTTATAATTGATAACGCAAACTATTTAACTTTGACGCCTGTCACTTTATAATAGCAAAAATTAATTTTGAATTAATTGCAAACAAGTGCATCAAAGTGTTTTACCAAATAATGTTACGTTACCGATTAATTGGAAATCATAATTGATTGATTTCTCAGGAACCCACCGTTAAGTTATTAAGTTTTGCTCGTTAATTTATTTCGTTATTGTAAATTCTCAGATATGTGCAGGTTGCATCACGATGTTTTCCTTCACCGTAAGAACGTCGGATAAATGTACATATGTCAATCGCAAATCGAAAAACACATGGCGGGATTCGAACTTAGGACGTGCAGATTGCAAGACAAGTGCTTAACCCTGAGCCACCGACGCTCAAAGATATGTGTGAAGTCAACCAACCCGCATTTGGCCAGCGTGGTTGACTATGGCCTAATTAACCTTAATTTAGGGTAGGCTTCGAGCCCTCGGTATAGTGAGCTGATGATGATGATGATTGTAAATTACTTGACAGATCTAACATTTATTAAAACTTATTTTTCTCGATTCTTTTATCAACATTAGTAAAGTTTAATATGACATTTAAAAAGACGTTTATCACATTGAAACGTTCACGATGTATAAAAGTTTTCCGAGAACATTTCTCTTCACTTTAGAACCATTTCCTTCGTGAAAGACTTTGTCATTATTAAATAAACTAACGCTTTCTCTCTGAACTGTCTACTATGAACTGATTAAGAAGATTACATTATTTAAGTTATATTCATATGCTATAAATAGAATACTTATGTTTCTAGCAGTCAGCGGTTGCGTCGGCGCGAAATTATTATAAAAACAAAATTACAATTAGTAGCCCATGTGTTCTTCCAGACTACGTTCTACATCTATGTCAAAATTCAGCTAGATCCGTACATCAATTAACAGTATGGAGATGCCTTTAAATAAACACCCAAGCTCTGTATAAAATATATCATCATCAGCTCACTACACGTCCCCACCGAGGGTCTCGGAGCCTACCCTAAGTTAAGGTTGATTAGGCCATAGTCAACCACGCTGGCCAAGTGCAGGTTGGTTGACTTCACACATATCTTTATATTTCTTCTCAGATATGTGCAGGTTGCATCATGATGTTTTCCTTCACCGTAAGAACGTCGGATAAATGTACATATGTAAATCGGAAATCGAAAAACACATTGGTACATGGCGGAATTCGAATCGTAGATAGCAAGTCAAGTGCTTGACCACTGAGCCACCAATGCTCTCCATATCATCATCCCTGTCAATTTTTGACAACACAGACAATATTTTAAGCTGAGATTTTAGACAATAAACCCACGGTTAGTGAAATTTTATTCATACCACTAAAACTAGTGTTGCACACGATAATTGTTTGTTGATTCATTCGGTTGATGTCAGTTTATCAATGAGCTTTATGCTCACCGACCTATAGTCGGCCGATGATTTGTGAGTTTTGAATTGTTTATCCATAAAAAAAAGAATTCAGTGCGAAACATAAAAGTAAAATTTTAGCACGTACGGTTTCAAAAATATGTGACAGTTATAAAAAAGTTATTAGAACTGCAATACACATAATAGTCAGAAACTGTGGATCAGCTGAGTTTGTTCACGATTTATTTTATAAAAAAAACATAAATAGTAGCATATGTCTTCTCCCAGACTATGGTCCACATTTGAGCTAAATTTCATCAAGATTCTTCGAACTGTTCTGGAGAAAGCTTCTAACAAAGTAACATCGATGCATCCATCTAAACTTTCGCATTTATAACAGTAAGATATCATATACTCTCGATGTGTTGTACAACAATGTTTTGAGTCTTTGTTACATGTGCATAGAGCAAATAAGTTTGAATATGTAATTCAGAGCGAGATTAAACTTTAGATCGGAATTCTACTCAACTTTGATTGGAATATCGATGCTCAAATACCATTATGAATTAGTATTGTTAGGAAGAAAATCCGACACTGTGCCGGTGTATCGGCGCAACACTTGCCTTATTAAAATGTCGACGATTATGTCTATCTAACTCCTCACTAATCATTCCGACACTTGACTTGGTAATGAAAGCGCGCCATTCGCGCCAAAGGATTCTAACTAATAATGTCTAAAAGTACTTACCAACAACAACGAGGTAAACTCTTCGCACTAGAGGAGGATGGGTAGAGATTTGACATTCATAAAATCCTTCGTCCCGTTCACTGACGTATTGTATTAGCAACCTCCAATTGTTTGGTTGCTCGAAAGCCAGAGAGTATCTAGAATCAGCAGAATATGTGTGACGGCCGAAAGATAGAAGATGGATCTCTTCCCCGCGTCTTCGGACCCACGATATCTGAAATAGAAATGATAAGCATTAATGCAATGTTTTTGCTTTTCTCAAAACTTTGGGAATAAGTACAGTCAGCTGCATAAATATGTAAACATTGTCGAAACTTCACAAACGTATATCGGCTTTAAAAATACATAAGCTGTTTTTCGCTAATTGCAAGAATTCATAGTTGGAATCATAAGATCAAATACATGCGTACATATTTTTGAAACCGTAGGCGAATACAAGTTTATGAAGCTTTGTAATTGTTTACATATTTATGTATTTGACTGTACATTGAAAGAGAAAGATGAAACAAATAAGAAAATAATCGAAACTAACCGTTTTATCTCCCAAATCATGGACTCTGCAATGAAGATGTACACGGCTACCCAATTGAGCTGTCACATTGTTAGTGGAGGGATCATCTTCGAAGAAAGGAAGGGGTTCAGATGTTGTAGTTGACATTTCATCTTCTGTATCTTCATAGACTTCCGTGAAAACTTCATGCCAAAAAGGACCATTGATAATTTTCTCACCGGTCTTGAAATCTACGAAATAAAGAATACATCTTACTATTATTATAAATGCCAATGTTTAGATGGATGGATGTTTGTTTGAAGATATGTCTAAAACTGATGAACGGATTTTGATAAAATTTAGCATATATATAGAACATAGTCTGGAAGAACACATAGGCTATTAATTATGTATTTTTTTTTAATTCCGCGCGATCAAAATCGAGGGCGTTTACTAACAGTTTACTAAATAAGCTTTGTCCATCAGTTTTATTCTCATTGCCCATTATGTTAGTGTTGTTTAAAGAAATGGTCAGTTAACATCAGGTAAATTTAATATCAGCATTCTCAAAGGCATTTAGATTGAAGCACCTAGATTTGTTACAAAATGTAATTTGTTAAAAATATACTAAGCTACAACAAAATACATTATTCCTTACAAAAGAAGCACTTCTATACAATCTCAATCTGTAAAACAGAATTCATTGTTACGTTAAAGTGCCTGTCTTCTTTGAATTCTGATTTCCTTTATTGCTTTTACATTTTCTATTCTTGAAATTAGTCACTATCACATTACAATGGTATTTAATTGAGGAGGAAGACAAATTTATTTAAGGCTGCTTTGCTGTCTACACTGTTTAATTTTAAGGTTAAGGTCTGGCTCGTTAAATTTGCAGATGAAAAAAAAATCGTTTCGGCAGATGCCAGCAACAATAACGGGATGGAAACGGGACGTGGATTTGTCAGAGGAGGGGACGCTTAGAAACCGGGTTTTTTCCTCTGCCTGTACACCCCCTCCACCGTCTATTAAAAGTAAGCAACACATTTGCAAATACTAATCTATATACTCGTAGGTAGCGATCGCTTTGCTATTTCGGCGAATTCAGATAGCCATTCGCTCATTTGCGACCTCATAATATTAAAAAAAAATTGTATAGATCAGGCAATTTATGTTATAATACAATTTTTAGACATAAATAGTTAGAATCCTTTGTCGCGAATGACGTGCTTTCGTTACAAAGTCCAGTGTCAGAATTAATAGTGAGGGGACACAAACGTCGACATTTTTGTAAGGCTAGTGTTGAGTCAATACACTGTCAAATTTTCGGATATTCTTCCTTACACAATGGAACTGCGATAAACATTATCATTCTGCTAGTCGGGTATAAGATAAAGTACATTATTACCTGGCATTTGTGGAGCCACACATAGTGTCCTGGTCATAAGGGAGCAGAGTATAATCACGTCAGCCGGCGTCATATTGTCAGACCACAGTTTGGAGCCATAGAATTCATCTGTTCAGGCGCCTTACAATCTACAACAAACAACACAATTAAAAAAAATCAACTGTTATAATAAATAATATGGTTATAAAATCAGATTCAACTAGACAGCTTAGGCCATTTTAATTTAGAGACACGTACACGAACTCCTAGGGAAAGTCAAATTATAGCAAAACAGTCTAAACAATGTTACCTTTATAAAGCTTAATAAAAACAGAAATGTTTGTATAATCAATTTAAAAACTAAAACTATCCAAAATAAACCCAAACTATAAATGACATTGTTCCCGTGCGGGTACATCGACATGAAATTCCATTCATTTTTGTTACACGAAATAACTTTGTTTCATTGTTTAGATTTCGCAAAAGTTTCAATTCCAAATATCGAAATTTAAATCCCGAAATGACAACTAAGGCTTCCTCGTTTGGCTGAGAATTGCCGTTAACATGGCAACCATTTATGCTGCTATTTGCAAATGTTACTTTCTCGCGTAACAATTTTATATCAATTAACTCACTCACTAACTTTAATGGATTGAAAATATGTACCCTGAATAGTGTCGTAAATAGGGCATTTAATTATAAAGAGAATTATTCAAAAATACGTAATGATTGCTTTGATACTGCGTTATAAAGAAGTGTATGTTTGCGTTTTATTATATTATTAAAGATAATTCCTCATATCCACGGAATTAGACAATTCAACTATCAATCAACTATCAAATGAGTAAAAATTTTTCAACAGCCTAGACTGCACATAATCATAATAGACAAGGAATTATCGCGAATATCCTCCTTCAAACATTATTATTTTAATCATCAATAAGTATCAATTTATTTTAACCCTTTATTCGATGGTGGCCACTATGACGAACAACTAATTAAAAAAAAAACCACTGAACTAGTTGAGAGAAAATGACGTAAGTATGACATTACTAAAAAAAAGTTTTTTTTTTGCTACAAAAAATATCGTCGAATTAAGGGTTAATTAATTTAATTAATCTAAGATTTTAATTCTAACACTTGTTATAAGCATATATTTTGTAAGATTTACTAGAAAGGGAAAAAATACTAAACAATATAATTGTCGAATACGTACGATATGAATCGAAATCGTTGGCATCAGCTGAAACAAAGGTTGTGGAAATTTTATAAGCGCAATTTTCGTATACCCTGGGGAATATTAAGCGGGCGAAAGATACGTGGAATAAAGGTCCAAATGGTACAGACAACAAATCGAATTGGAAGAGGTTTTTGTTTTAAATTCCTCGCGTTACACGACATTACAACGTGTTGAAAATTTTATATTGTGCTTCGTTCTTTTAAATATACGGTGCTTTATAAAATAAGAGTAAATAGTAATTCCTAAAGTTTTGGGGACATGTTTAAAACATTTCAAATAAGTTTTAACTTTTAGTTTGGTAAAGTCGGTAGTTTAGGGGTTGAGTACTTGACTTGTAATCTGCCGATCCTAGGTTCTAATTCCGCCATGACCCAATGTTTTTTTCTATTAAAATATCTGCTTACATATAAAGTTCTTTCGGTGAAGGAACACATCGTAACGCAAATGTTGAAATATTTGTAGGTCATTGGTTACAAAATTGCGCCAGAAGGTGTAAAATTTTTAAGTTTTAAAAAAAATGCCCTTTATTTTTTTTAATACCCAGAGGGGAATTTTTATTTTATTTTTCTGGTGACCCTTAAGACCGCCCCTATCATCCCCCTTCCTATGTACGTAACCTTTTGGGACACACTATATATATACCAGCTGTCGCCCGCGACTCCGTCTGCGCGGGATTAAAAATAGATGTTGGCCGATTCTCAGAGCTACTCAATATGCTCACAAAATTTCATGAGAATCGGTCAAGCCGTTTCGGAGGAGTATGGGAACGAAAATTGTGACACGAGAATTTTTATATAAGATATATATATCTTTTTAAAAAAGGTTTTTGTTTTTAAATAACTGTATCTCTCGTTCATATATATGAGCAGCACGTTCTTATATCCATTTTTATCTTACACCCACAACGTTTCTCATATAAACCTCTGGTTTACGATAAAATCCACAGCGCGAAAGGATTAGACACGTAATGTCTGGTACATTAGTCATCTCCAGAAGACTTTTATAGCTTTGCAGGTTATATTAATATGAAATAGTACTTAGTACAGATGTAAGATATTCTTTACTCTGTGGTAGGTCGAAAAAGGCTAACTATTATTTTACAATTATGTAAATTTAGTTGATATTCTTCTTAATAGAGAAAAAAGATAAGAAACGACAGACAGGAAATAGTAACAGAACATGCTACTAAATAATCATATCTATACATATAAATATACTGTATGCAGTTACATATATATAAATAAAATTGGAGTGTCTGTTTGTAATATTGAATAAAAATATTCTTTCGTACATTATGACGTAGTAACATAGCTGATAAAGAAATAGCAATTGTTAATATTTTTTCTGTCTGTCTGTCTGTATGTTTGTACTCAAAGCATTAGTTGTCCCGTTGACCGTTAGTTAATATATATCTGTATAAAACATATCGTCATCCCTGACTTTGACAAAATAGAGATAACAAAATATTTTCAACTGGGATTTTGGTCTTAGAAACCCACGATCAGTCCAGTAAAAGCTTTAAACTTATTTAGAATACTAATAAGAAATATTAATAAACTGGAACTTGATACATATTAAATATATGTAAACTGAATAGTCGTCCAGTTGGGACCGGCCTACTTGGCCCCACTCCAAACTTCACGGCGTAGCTTAGATCCAAACGACGCCGGAAAACTAATGAGCCGACGACTTACATTAATTTGATTTCGGTACTCAGCTAATAAAAATAAATATTTGCAATAGAAATTTTATATAATTAATTAATTTTCAAACATTTATTGGAGATTCTAAGAATTTAAAAGATTCTAGAATAGTACGAAATAATTAAATTCATTGTTTCATATAGAATTTAATTATTAATTCGTTTTAAATAAACGAAATAATTAGGCAATATCACACGGGGGAATAAGGCTATAGGTAATTAAATATCACAATTCAAAATTAATCAAGCTGTTTAAGCAACAAGCTAAAATAGATCGGGGTTTCTTTACTAACTTACCATTTCTTCAATCTGTCAAATGAAATATCTGAAACAAAATAATTGAACCCAAATTAGTTTATTTGTCCAACGTACAATATATACATGGTTTCCTTCTGCATTTCAATCGTTATTTTTGTAATTCGTCAGGAAAAGTCAGTCTTTTCAATTTTTTGAACGCCTGTTATTTTAGTGTTCGCTTACATATTCGTAAGGATTGCATTCGTTTTTTTGCTATTCAAAATTGGAAGTCATTTACCGGGTACATTCCGACTTAAATTTATTAACCAAGGCAACGCATTCCTTTCTACAGTACCGCATTGCGTACAGTCTGTGTTGTGGTGGGAAGCTGGTAAAATATATTATACGTTATCACCCTTTCTGCCTTTCTCGTTTAGAATGGCATGTCACCGAGAGACTGCGAACATCGTTATTTTTAAATCGAAAAGATTAAAAAAGAATACATCACATAATCAAATAACTTATTTATTCTTTCATATACATTAATTGTCACTACTCTGTTCTATGTTCTAAGTTTATAAATTATATAATTTTATCTAAAATGTAATTTTTTTAGTAACTTATATCAAACCTTACTCACATCATTTCACAATTTGGTAATTTATAAAATGTCCAGACATGACGACGATAAATGACGTTAAGACGGCAAGAATTTACTCATCTGTATTCGTGACATCATCAGCAAAATATGTCAAAAATTTGCATAAAAAATTTGTCGTTGTGCTTTACACTCAATCGAAGCGCTGTAGAAGTGCAATACAAAATTTTGTCGATGACGTCACCGACACTTCCTCGCACAGTTTACACGCTAGGACCCCGTTGTTTTGCTGTCAAGAACATGCTTCAATTCCGACTGTAAACTGACGAAGTTTAAACATGGTTGGTGACATAACCTAGACAATGTTGCTCTTTACAGAACAACCACTTGCTACGTTCTAATTGCCAATTAGCTCCACATATTAAATATATAGCATGTTTAAATGTTAACAGAGTTCATCTTATATATAAAATTCTCGTGTCACAATTTTCGTTCCCATACTCCTCCGAAACGGCTTGACCGATTCTCATGAAATTTTGTGAGCATAATAAGTAGGTCTGAGAATCGTCCAACATCTATTTTTCGTCCCCCTAAATGTTAAGTCCACCCCTAATTTATTTTTTATTTTTTAGACAAACAAGCGGACGGAGCCGCGGGCATCAGCTAGTTTTTTTATAAAATTCTCATGCATTTTTAACTGACTTCAATATTTTGAAATAAAATCTTATTTCAAACTAATATTATCAATGCGAATGTGTAGATGGATGCATCGATGTTTTTTATTACGTAACTCATGAACGGGTAACCGAATCTCGCGGAAATTTGGGACGTAGAACCTGGTCTGGAAGAACACATAGGCTACTAATTAAATTTATTGTAATTCCCATATAACACTGAGGGGAAGACTACGAATCGAATGCACTTATCGTGGGTTTCTGAGCCAAAAAATATCCGTTTAAAACATGTTGCTATCTCTGTTTTGTAAAAGAAAATAACAGGGATGACGATATTTTGATATTGGTTAGTTACAACGGAACTTACATATATTTACGAACTTGCATATATAAAAATTACGTACGAGCCAAAACATTATCTGCCTTCAGTTGAGTAATTGTCTGATTAATCTTTTACTAAGTTAAAAAAAATGTTGTGAAAATCCATTAATCGTGTGCCGATAGCTTCCAATCGATCGTAATTTCCAACCATACATGATTTATTATAGCGGATATATTTTTTACTGCACGCAGAAAATTATATTGCGACACGCGAACGTTATCTTTTAACGGTGTTCTAAATTTGGAATTTAGCTTCTAAAGCAGTGGATTTGTGGGTTTTTAGATTTCTACAAAATAATAAGTACTCAAGTTTTTAGAAGTGTCGCCCATTGTTCGTAGTTTGACTGTAACTTAAAATTAACGAGTTTTTGGGTTTTTAATCAATTTAAAAATAGCTTTATATCAATTTTTCACCTTTATCCATTTGAACAATTTCCTTAACAATTGGTGCGAAGTTATCACTATCTTACTAATATTATAAATGCTAATGTTTAAATGAATGGATGGATTGATGTTTATTAGAAGGTATGTCCAGGACAGCTGCATGGATCTCGCTGAAATTTGGCATGTAGAATATAGTCTGGAAGAACACATAGACTACTAATTAAGTTTTTTTTTAGTCCATGCGGACAGACTCGGACGACAGCTAGTTGTTAATGCAGATTGAAATAATTACATGAAAGATAGAAGATTTATGCTATATTTGATAAAATGACTAAACTTTATATTTCATTTGAAATGACTTTTTAATTTGCATATTTTTATTTTAAATTTAATTAATGAACAACATAATAGCTTGTAGCGTTATTTATTGTTTTCAGAACATAATAATCGTTGAAAAAATATCTTTATATGACGACAAGAAAACAAAACGTTTTCATAATCCTTGAGAGTTGCGACGTCGACCTCCCTCGACATTTTATTTATACCCCACCGTTCCAGACATATCGTTTATCTTTTGGATTGGTTTGTTAAATAATTTCTAAGTTATCTCGCTTTTATATTTGAAGAATAGTTTCATAGGAAATATAATATTTACCCAAAAAAAAGGAAAAACCTGTGTTATTCAAAGGAGGAATAACATTTATATCTTACTAATATTATAAATACGAATGTTTAGATGTAGGGATGGATGGATGTTTGTTTGAAGGTATTTCCAGAACGGCTGCATGGATCTTGCTGAAATTTGGCGTAGATGTAGAATACAGTCTGGAAGAACACATAGGCTACTAATTAAGTTTTTTTTTTTAATTTCGTCCGCGCGGAATAAAAAATAAACTTAGTGCCCAAAGTCTATACGTGCCAGATTTCATCAAGACCCGCTAACATTCAAACAAGCATCCATCTATTCGAACATTCGCATTTATATTAGTAAGATAGACAACAAATTTAATTTTTAGTTATATAAAAATACAGAGTATAAATATAAAAATGTAATTCATCGTGCGTTTTGGAAGCTATTTAATAGAACCCATATCACGATCGTGACAAGCAGTTTGGCAAACATTTGGAGCGTAGAGTAACAGCTGCGCTAAATTAGGTGGACAAACACATTGACTGTTCGACGAGTTAGGCCATTTAAAGTAGTTTTATTGCCGATTTGTTAAATCACTGCGACGGCTCTGTGAACGCTATATTTGGCAAATGTTTTATTGTATTGAGTCACAACATTTTTATAATACTAATGATTATCCGACCGACAAGAGGAGAAAGTTTAACGCGACTGATAAGAGTGTAATGTTTTGCGCGCGAATGTAATAACTTTTTTTTTAAATTAAGAATATATTCGGCGTGCTGGCAGTCCACTTTTGTTCCTCTTTCCCTTCATATTATTGTCTTTTAAGGAAGGAAGGCGACGGGACGGTGGGTTTGACGGAGCAGGGGACACTTAGGAAGGTAGGCAACGCAGATACAAATGCGAATGTCTATAGGCAGCAGTCACATCGCTATTTTGGCGAATTTCGGTGGCAGCCTGCTCTTTTGTCACAACTTTTTTCTCGTAAAAACTACGTCAAAGAGTTTCTTTGTTTCTTAACACCGGTCAGGATACAATGGGTCACTTGTAACTCAAAATAAGAACAACCTTCTTGGAATACACGATGAAGGTTTTTCGTATTCTTTATCTTGTGTCGAGTTCTCTAGTATGATCTCATTCAAACTTAATGGAAGCTCGACATTTTCGCGACGCACTGCTATTTATTTTACTCCTCTCGCAGTGGGCAATCACTCTGCTAACTGCCAAATTGAATATTCGATCTTTGAGATGGACTTGGTTTTAATAACGTATGTAACGGAATACAAAAATTATTCGATAAAATAATCAATGAAAATTACCACAGAAGAGATAAGAAGTGCGCTCTCTGCTAACCTCGAGCCAATATAAAGTTTGAATCTTATAATATCTTGTTGCTACCTGAAACCCAATTATGGATAACAAGATATCTAATACTTATATATTATAATATAAAGCCTTTAGTAGTTATAATATTTGTCCTATTTCTTTAGCAATGTTCAAATAACATTTTCTCTTTTTATACCACGAAAATAATGTATTATTATACAAGCAAAAGTGATTATACAAAAATATTTAGGCTAAATTTATCATTAAATTAAAATGTGAAGACAAAGCTTTGTACCCATTATAAAAGTGAAATTTGGTACAGCGAAAGTTACGAAGCTATTTTGCATTAAAAAATCTTTGATTAGGACGTATGATTGAATTTCGACTAAAAGGCGAATCGTAGCAGTAATTAATACACACCCAAGCATCGAGTGCAACGAGTGCTTCGGTGGCTCAGGGGATAAGCACTTGACTTGTAAACTATAAGTCCTGGGTTCGAATCCCCGTCACCCTAAACTTAGGATAGGCTCCGGGTCCTCCAATGGGGACGTAAAGTGAGATCTGATGATGATCCAAACATTCTATGTCATATTTTTATTACATTTTCAGTATTATAAACTTATATAAAACACTAAACGACTAAAGTATTCATGTATGTTCATCCGGTGCCGGCACCGACTAGTTTCGAGCCCATCGGGGCTAACTCGGTGAGCGACGGGCCGCGTCCGCGAATACCAGTCCCATGCACAATGTTGAAGGTTCCCGATGGACTCGAAACTTATCGGTGCCGACACCAGACGAACAAGATGTCTCACGTAAGTTTGAATAATTAAATTTTCAGAATTCTTGGCAATAATTTCTAATTCCTGCAAGAAAATAGAACAGTTTGTGTGGTTGCCAAGACGATTCAATGTATAAGTTGGCTGACCTTAGCTAACATGCAATTGGAACATTATGACTATTAAATGTACTGATTCAATTTGGAAACTTACATGAAATACAGAAACGTTTTAGACCTGTAGTACACAACAAAAGCGAAGTTAAGTTTTCATGTACCGCATATATGAGAGTAGACGCCTAGAGAAAGAATAGGAA